AGCCGGGGTGCCCCGCACCCCGAGGCTCTGGAGAGGCCGAGGAAGGGCTCTCCTGCCCGGTTTGGGGCCATGGGGTGATGCGCTCCCCCCGGCTGCGCTCACTTCCACACTGATCGTTTACACGGGGTGGGATTTTTATCCAAAGACGGGTCCGGGCTTGCTGGGGTCCCCTAGAGGCAAGCCCCTGTAATTACACGTGTTGTTCTGGATGCTACCAGTTTAACTTGCTTCATTAGAGAAGCTACGGTACCCTCACATTCCTCTACTGTATCATGTGCTTTGCGGTGTTAGTGAGACCATGATGAAGTGTCCTTTATCTTGTGCTTTCTTTTGGCCGAGAGTGGAGTAGTGCATTCACTTAAAAAGCAAGCAAGAAACCAAGCAACCTTCAGAGAGATGGCAGGGCTCGGGGTGAAACACCTAAGGTGGCTCAGGGCAGAGGTGGCGGATGCTGCTCTGGGGCCCGGCATGGGAACAGCTCAGTGGTTGCAGCAGGAGACACGCGCACCTCCCCCCCCCTCGCTGAGCCTGGTGTCCCAAACACGTTGCTCTCCTTTCGAGAAGGACGCTGTGATCTCCGGCATCCGAAACGCCCCTCTTCAAAGCAGGAGCTAGGTTCTGCCGCACCACGGGCAAAACAGACGAAGGTTCCTATCAACCCAATCCAACGGCACCACCGCCACCAAACCATTGCATGTGTACACCGTAGTTCCGTGGAAGACAGAAACGTTCTTGCTTTGTGAGGCTGTAGTGAGTACGAAGCCACTTTATGGCTGGATACAGGCACAACTGTATTTTCTCTCTGGATCTGTGCAATGAATTTCTCGCTCCGCAGAGCCAAGTGCACATGAGAAAGCTATGAATCTCCAAAGTGTGCCTGGGGCTTGGACTTATTGTCTACCTTTGAAAGGTGGCCAGTCTCTCTTCTTTTTTTTCCATTTCCTCTCTCTTTTGAATACCTTGGGCAATGGGCAGTAGGCACAATGTTGAATCAGCATACATTTAAAAGTAAATATATATATAAGAAAGAGTAATACATATATGAACACTTTTCTCTACTCATTTTATTTCTTCTGGTTTCTGTAAGTGCAGCCAGGTCCCTGCAGTTCCTCAGTGTGAAAACTCAAGACAGAGTTAGTTTAAACCATTTTTGGAACTTTGTGAACATTTTGAAATGTTTTTGTACAACCCGATCTAGAAGCCAGAATTTGTTTCTCTGGGCAGCTCATTTTGTATCTTTAAATCAAATGCAGATTAACTAATCAGCTCCAGAGAAACCTTGACATGAAAAAAGTTGCATTTTCTTGGCTTTCCAGGCAATTCCCTGTTGTTGAAGGTTCCGATTTTAACAATGTTCTTTTTAGAGTTTGCCTACTTGAAACTTGTCTCAGTTCGAGGGATCCATTGATCAGCTTTGACAAAGGCATACAAGGGTCAACGGAAAATAATTTTCCCCTGTGGCCCTCCACAGCAGTAGGAGAAAGATTTGGGATGTGAGGAGCTAAAGCCGAGGATACAGTCCCCACCAGACAGCTGAGGTAGAGAGGAGGTGGAGATGTCCTCACTGAAATGCTTGGTACTCGCCCAAACACATTTACAGCGACTTTGTCGAAGGCAAACTCTGCTGCCTAAATTCTGGTCCTTGCACTAAGGAGACTTTTATTCTGCTGCACTAATCCAACTCACCGTCAGTATCAAGATGTGGCGCAAGTATATTGCATGCTCAGGTTTAGTACAAAATGCCGATCTAATTTTTTTTCAAGTGATGGTCTAGGATCTCTCTCTTGGAGACTGTTAAAGGTGGCCATGGAAGTTGTTAAAAACGCTTGACAGGCTTCAGGAAAAGTCTCAAGAAATCTCTAAAGAACATTTTGATAAATTGGCGTTTTTGCAGTCTTTCCACAAAATAAAAATAAATGCATTTTCTAGGTGTTTTTTCCTTTGCTGTTTTCCCTTTCCTTTCTTATCAGTGGAAAGAGGGGAAAACAAGAAGTGAGGAAGAAGATAAACAGGTATGAGTTCACCTGCCATGCATTGCGCTGTGGAAATCTCTGACCATTTTACCGCACCTTTGTTTTGGTGGGGGTTTTTTTTTTTGTTTTCCTAAAGAAAACCTTTCACTGGAAAAAGTTTAGAGTGACAATGTTGGACATCAGTGATGACGTTGGATGTTGGAGCCTCCTTACGTTGGACATCAGGAGAGCTAACTTAAAACCTTAAAATACTTACCAAGTTAGTAATGCTGTGTGCAGGGTGGGAGTGCCCTGGTGTCCTTCAGTGCTGGCTTTGGGGCATGTTTAGTACAGAATCAGGGCCTGATTTTGGATGAGGTCATGTTGCCATAAACAGGGAGCAGCTCCCATGAATGTAATGGTATCACAAGTGGATGGGGCACCAACTATCAGAAGAGCACTGGAAAACAGAAAGGGTTTTCCAGCGCAGTGAATCCTCTGTGGATCCAAACCATCTGGAAACATGGTGGAAAGAGCCAAGCAGCCCCTGTCTAGCTCCTGGGCATCATGAGAAGGACACAGAGCAACCGGGGTACGGCCCATCGTTCTCCATTTTCTGGTATTGAATGTATTGGTAAGCCTCCTCCAGCTGGGATTCCTATGTCACAAGTCATTAGAAAAGCTGAGGTCTATAAAAGCCATTGATTCAATTATTGTGCTTTTCAGATGAGATACAAGGGGACAGTGGTAGTTCTGCAAAGCACAAGGTCTTTAGCTGGTGGAAATTTGCAGGTGCCCTTCGATTTCCACAGAGACTCTGTGGCCACTCCAGGTGGAAACTAGACCTGCTTGGAGAGGGCTGGTCGGCATTTGGTTGGGAAGACCTCCGCGTCCTCACCCTGGCGAATGGCCCAGATCTTGCCATTGTACCTTCAAAAACTGAGCTTTGCAAATAGCTTTTGATAAAAGATGACGGGGCCAGAGCCCGGCCCCGCTTACACTCGCATCACTTCTGGACCCTACAGGAGCTGGTCTAGATTTACAGCAGCAGAAACAAGCAGCGAATTGGTCCTGAGCAATTACATGAGGTATCTGACCAGCCTCAAGCCTATGGCAGAGATCAGCATAGCCAGGGAAATGAATCCGCTGCTTATTTGGTTGATTTATTTACAGGTTTCTGCTTGCCTTTGGCTTTTCTACCATGAGTTGGTAGCGAGCAGAATATAGGTATGAAATGCTTTCCGTGTCGGTGGTCGGCTGTTTTAGTCGAGGGGGTGAGGAAAGGGCAAGGAGGAGAAAGAAAGAGAAAACATTCCTCGAATATACTGTGAAAAGGCCAGGGTCACTGTTGGGTGGGACGTAACCACAGCTGCACGAACGCTCTGAGTTTCGTGGAGATGTGCTAGGGGTGGGTGTGAGCTTGTACACTTACAACAAGCCCTTGTCCCTGTCCCAGTGCGTTTCAACTGAGAAATTAAAATTAAAAAAGCTAACAAAATGTATAGACTCCAGCAACAACGTTGCTTAGGGGTTTTTTTCCTTTCCATTTTATTCAGTTTGGGACTTTGAGCAGTGAAAACGTCTCTTTTTAGCCAACTTCATGTCCGTAACCAGCAGTAAATATCTCAAGGATCTCAGTCCTGATGTGGCAGCCACAATTTGTTCATCTCAAATGAAGAGTTTTAATTGAACTTGGAATAAACCCCCAAGAAACCATTACTGTTCTCAGTAAGTGATGAAGTACCTCTTTCTTGTAGAAGCATCAAATTTGGGGTGGGGAGGTCTTTAAAAAGCCATTGATATTGGTCATCACTTGTGTTGATGTGTATTGACCAGCATCGACAATTCACTTAATTGTTAACAATTAATTAACAGTTCACTTTTAATTGTCAGGAATAATTGTTCAATGCACATGGTATTTCCTTGTAACTCCTTTCATTCACGCGCAACCTTTTCTCCCGGTGAGGCGGTCATGCTGCCGTACAGCTGATGGCTTCACTTGTACCATTTGTACCTTTTCTGTTAAAACTGTGATTGCCTACTGC